ATTGACTGCACATTGTAGGCCTTATGCATTTTGCTTTTAAATTGGCATAAATGCTTTAGCGCAAACCAAACAAAAATCGACTTTAGGCAAAAAAACACCTAAAGCCCAGCCCAGTTTTGCAAAACAGCTGTAAAATTACCCACACACGAGACATGTGTATGTATTGTAGCATCTGCGCAACAATCAATACTTTAATTGGTTATTTTTTGTCGATGGACTTATGTGATTTTATCAGATAAAACAAATATTTAGTAATGTTTAAGAAGAAGAAATATCTGTGCAACAGTTATTCTACATTGAAACAATTTGTTTATCATTCGTGTCGTTTCGTGTTTGGTCACAACATAAGCGCGACACTTTGCAACACTATGAATGGAACTACCGCCCTGTGCAATAACATGACCAGCGCGATCCGGCGCGCAATTTGTGAGCAGGTAAAACAATAAAATTGTAGTCAACAAGGCTTATTAAATCTTCTATTGTGTATTTAACGCAGCTGCCACAACTGAAAAACGTCTACCATGCGCTCGAAGTGCCCTCCAAGGTGCAACAAAATGCCACTACACGACCATTGCTGCAGTGGATTTTGCCGGCTGATGTTGCACAACAGGAGCACGACCTGTTGGAGTCGGTAAAAAGTCATCAATTTGATGCCACGTACATTGAACAAGTTCGTGTGGTTCCCAGAAATGGACGCAATGCAGCCAAAGTTGAGTTCCAGATTCGTCCCGATGCATTTACAGCCCAGCTTCTGCAAGCAAATACAAACCTCTCAATGGAGCCAACCTTACACGCGGAGCACGTTGTTGTTGAGTACAGCTCGCCGAACATTGCAAAGCCCTTTCATGTGGGACACCTGCGCTCCACAATCATAGGCAATGTGTTGGCCAATCTTCATCAGCATTTGGGTTACCGCACGACACGTCTCAACTATCTGGGCGATTGGGGCACCCAGTTTGGCCTGTTGGCGCTTGGCGTGCAACTGAGCAATGTCAACGTTGCTCAAATGCGCGCTGCACCTATTGAAACGCTCTACAATGCTTATGTGACGGCCAATAAAGCTGCCACAGAGGATCCAAAGTTAGCTCAACAGGCACGTGAACTATTCAGTGCATTGGAAGCGGGCATAGATACAGCAATGTCCAACCAATGGAAGCAGTACCGTCAATACACCATAGAAGAGCTGACTGGCGTCTACGAGCGTCTCGGAGTGCATTTCGACAGTTACGAATGGGAGTCACAGTACTCGCAGCGTGAAATCGGTGATGTTCTAACACAACTGCGCACGGCAGGACTACTTCAACGCGAAGAGGATGGCCGTGAGATTGTTGTTGTGGACCAGCGTCGTGTGCCTGTCATCAAAAGCGATGGCTCCACCTTGTACTTGGCGCGCGATATTGCTGCAGTCCTGGAACGCCAAAGACGTTTACAGTTCTCGCGCATGCTTTATGTGGTGGACAATGGGCAGGCGGATCATTTCAATGCCTTGTTCCAGACGGTGTCGGCGCTCGATGAACGACTCAATGACAAACTGCAGCATGTAAAATTCGGTCGCATTCACGGCATGAGCACTCGCCAAGGCAATGCCGTATTTCTTCGCGATGTGCTCAACGAGGCGCGTGACGTGATGCGCGAGAAGCGCAGCCTTAGCTCAAGTGAGTATCGAATTATTCATAACTCTTCTCGATTCCCTTGTTATTTTAATTGATACTTATAGCCACTAAAGTGAATAGTACGCTTGATGATGATCACGTGAGCGATATTCTGGGCGTGTCAGCTGTGCTTGTGAACGTGCTGAAGCAACGTCGGCAACGGGACTATGAGTTCAGCTGGCAGCAGGCGCTGCAGGTTAATGGTGATACGGGCATCAAGCTACAATACACACACTGCCGCCTGCACAATCTGCTGGATAATTTCAAGCACATTGAGCTGGCGGAAGTTAAGCCCAGCTGGCAGCATTTAACTGAAGAGCCATCAGATGCGCTGGCTTTGCTTTACGAGCTGGCGCGCTTTGAGCAATGCGTTTGGCAGGCCAAGGAGCAGCTGGAGGCGTGTGTCGTAGTCAATTACCTGTTTGGCTTGTGGTGCGTGACTCCCGCTAAATTATTTGTTGAGCCCCAAACTAATCGCCTCTTTTGTAAATTTACAGCAACGCAACAAGTCGCGCACTGAAACGGTTGCCCGTGAAGCAAGAGAAATGCCCGGAGAAGCAAATGCAAAGACTGCTGCTCTTTCGTGCAGCCAAGCGCACCCTGCAACAAGGCATGCAGCTTTTGGGTCTGAAGCCCCTAAACCAAATGTAGTTTTAGTTAACATAGTTTTTATTGAACATTTGAATAGAAATGCAACGGCCGCTTTGTAGTTGGCCGCTTAGCGCTTCTTCCACGTGTATTTCCGACGTGCGCCTTCCTGTCCGAACTTCTTGCGCTCTCGCCTGCGATAGTCACGTGTCAGCAAGCCGGCTGCATTGAGAGAAGAACATAAAAGCAATTAGCGACAATTAAAAGATTTAGAGCCGGCAATCGCACTTACCCAAACGCATTGTCTCAATCATCTCTTGATCAACAAAGCTGCGCAAACTCATCGCAATGCCCCAACGAATGGCGCCCGCCTGACCGGATGGACCACCGCCCTCCACATTGGCCTCGACATCAACTTTGCCCAGCATTTTGCTATAGCTCAGAGGAAAGAGCAGCTGAAAACAGACAAAATGTTATCGTGTTAGAAAGTCAAGTTCAGAGCGCTCGAAGCGTCTATTGTCTATACGTAGTATGTGCATATGCATGAACTCGAGCTGATTGTATTTTCGTGTATGTAATGAAAAAATTCAACTGCGCGTATTTCCTGCACCAAAATAGATGCACAACAATAGATGTATAGAAATAATGACAAAATCGTTAGCCAAATTAAATGGCTTTGGGCCAACACTAGAAAATGCAACAAACTATTGCATACTTGCTTCCAAAGTAATTAAATGCCTACGTTATAGGCTGGCATGATGTAAATCAAAAATGTTGAGGAAAACGATTAAGAGTGCTCCAGTCGATATTGTTTAGACACACTCATCAAGTTAGTTGGCCAGCTGATACCCTGTGTCCTCTTCTTTAATCTTTGATCTTGACCTACATTTTTCCAATTTCTTAACTCAACTTGGTTAGTTATACTATATATATATATACTTTAAGTTTCAAGCTGCGAATTAAGTTTCTGGCTTTAGGTTCGGTTTGTGAAATTTGTATCTTTCTATCCAAAATTTGTATCTATAAATGTTATATCTAGAATGTATGAATGTTACGTAATACAATAATAACTACATCCGATTTGCATATGATATTTTAAACATATTTCGCATTAACTCTTGTTACACTTGGTGTATTCATTTAATGTTTTGTAGAGACAAAAACTTTCCATTGAAAACAGGCAAATTTAAAAAATAATTCCCAGCTCGTTTTAAAGCTAACGCACCGAATAATATATGTTGTTTTGCATTTATTTGTGCTGCCATTAAATGTTATGCGTGAGTAATTATCTCCCCAAACATGATTTTAATGTTGATACAGCACGTACGCATTTAAATACCATTAAAATACTATGTGGTCGAAATTGCTTCCTATCAGCAAACACCTGCAGAGTTACAGCATATAATACCTTTTCAGTTATAGTTACAGGGTATGATTACTTCACAACAAGCTGATAATTGCTGGCCGCCGGCTAAGCAGCGCACACACAAGGCGCAGTAACCAGTGTTGGCTAAAGGCATTTGCATACGGGCTGGGGGTTGGAAACTGCAGTGTTGTAACTTTGAACAATTCATCCGCAAAGTGTTGTCGAATTTGTCACATTTTTTAAATTGATTGTCAATAGGAAAGCGCCACTTGAAAACTGGCTAAAACCGGTGAACATTTATGGACAAGGAAGAAATTGTGGATAATTTATGTAACTATCAAAGAAAGAGAAATACCCATCTCTTGAATTTATTGTACACCTATTTTATTAATTAGTTTATGGCTTTTGCTAACATTCAAAGGTATTGAGCAATAATAAATTAATTATAACTAAACTCTGACGTTTGATTCAAAGTTCACACATGAAGGGGCTGTTCCCATTATCCGAAAGAAAAAAGTATTTATTTATATTTGTTTTTTTTTGGCTTTTTTAAATACGCGTGGGAAACGAAGTGAGCTTGGCAACCGTATGCAAACAATATGGTCTACAGCACACAACGACAATCAACGTTATGATTAAAAACGAATAAACAATAAAAAATACATAATAAAAGCCGTTAACAAAGCAGCGATCGCAAATTTGCCCGAAAATAGAAGCAAAACAAAAAGGCAGTCGAAAAAAGCGACAAAATAAAACAACAAAAAAAAAAAAACACAATCAATCATCGCAGATTTGACAAAATTATTGTGATTTGTTTGTGTATCTTGAAATTGTTTGAACAAATTGTTGGATGACTTCATGCAAACAAAAAAAATAATCAGCTTTAGCAACAATTGCGCAAAAGATTTTTTAAATTAATGATACGGGCAATTAAAGTAAAACACACAAAAATAACAAACTAGCCATAAAATGACGAACAATGTACATTTATAGAACAGGTTGCCCAAAAATATGGTATAAAAGAAATCTGTGTAAGTATTTATGGAGGTTCAAATTCGGGCTAGCCGGCGCTTCAAGAAATTTCGCGTCACATTTTATTATGATTTAAATGAATTTGATAGTTGATTCTCGAAAGTCGCCTCGCTTTGCGCTTTTACCCCATCAACTGTACACAGCTCTATACGAGGAGATCATGATGATCATGATGATGATGACGGCGATGTGGAGGGCATATAGTATATATACTAAGTGTACATTCAGCCTCATTGGCGCGCGCGCTTGGCACTTGGCTCAAGTTGGATATGCTCAGCCACATCGAGACTTGTGGTCTACATTTATCATTTCGGCGCAGTTCTTTTTATCAGTCAATCCAAGTTGTTGTCGCGCCTCAAGTCGCGGAAAAATTTTACACCGTTTTTTACGCGTTTTCCAACACCCGAGCCCGAAAAGTGTTCCGCTCCTAATCGGATGATAAAAGAGTTATTCCTTTGGATAATGTAAAATGTTGCGTTAGTTGCCTTAGCAACGGCTTTTGGCCAAGATACTCATAATGTAAATCAAATATATCAGCTAATTAAGCATGTATTTAAGAACGTGTCTATAAAAACTATTCAAATCTGGACTATAAACTCTTTCTTTTCCAATATGTAACCTATTTAAAGAGAATCTTCATCAAATGCGTTTATTCATTATTTTGATGCATTTTCGGCTTTTGATTTTCCCAATTAAGTCATATTACGGATTATAAAAACAAGTTGATAGATGAAACTATACTAAGAAATATATAATTTGCATTGCGCATTACATGAAGGGGTTTTTTTTTATGTCCATGAAATGGGCACAGCCGTTGCATTAGAATTGTTTTCTTGATCTCACTTAAAGATTATATTACAGTTTTGTGTTGCAATCGTCTGTTGTATTATCCTTTAATTTGGCGAAAATTCAATTACACCAGCAACGTACAAAAGTACACAAGTGCACAGAGCTTGTGGGCCAGAGGGGCGGGGCGCCTCAGGTTCAAGGGCATTCCGCAAGCAATGCAAAAATAAAGCTCGTCTCGCAAATGCTATGCCTTCCCAATGGGCACACAACATACATACATATCTCACACCGTTGCCCTCCCCGCACCCGCACCCCGAAGGCTTTCATCCGTTCAAATCCAAATTAGTTTCAATTATAATTGAATCAACGCGAACCGAAGAAGCGAACGAACCGAACGAAGGAACGACTGAACGAACGATCAAAAGAAACGACACGAAACGAATGCAGGGTTGTTTCTTGGGCGGCGCAGTTTCCAAATGACGTTGCAGGGTTGTTTCGGGGGCGGCGCAGTTTCCAAATGACGTTGCATCGTCTCATCGTCGCATCTAAACGGTAAATTGCAAATGGCCCTTCCGGCTCGGCTCAGCTAGTTCTATCTGTACACTTTGTTCTCTTCTTTCGCACTCACATGCATAAGCATACATATATGTAGTATAAGTGTATGCGCACATATACTTATACATCAATCAATAGAAGAGTGTCGCTTTAGCTGTCTATCTTTCGAGTACACAGTTAATGAGATTTTTGGATAATTGTGTGCTAAGCTGAACTTGTACCGCGGGGGGCGTTAATAGCTAATATTTGTTTGCTGTGTTAGAAACTTTCAACTGGCGAATGGAATTTGAGACCAGAGAATCGCAAACTGGTTTTTCAACTTCGTCTATGGCCTCTCGGGGGATTTAATTAATTTGTGCGCATAATAAATTAAGAGTTTTTGTCTGATTGACCACCAAATTGGCTAATAACTCAACTCTAAGAAAGTTTATATCAGCGCCTTGTTTCCACGCAGTACTTAGCTAGCTTTTTTATTATCTTTTGTTTTGATTGCCTCGTTACTTTTTTTTATATGTTTATCTGTTGAAATTCCCCGAAACGCTTCCTAAAATTGTTTTATAATTGGAAATAAGCTTAAAGTTGACAACAATGTCATATGGAAAGTATTTACATTGCTTTTTTTTGGCTAACTCTAGTCGGGAGTGCATGCTAGGAGATACCCTAAACCTTCTACCAAAGACACACGCAAGTAAGCTTTTGATGAATTGGAACAAACCTGATCAGCTCGGGCCATAAAACGACCTATTATTCCCTTTTCACATCAACATGTTTTACATCCCCCCACATAAAGATATATGTAATTCATTATTGCTAATGTTTTGCCATAAACATTCACATAAGCACTCATATTGTTCATACGTTGTTATGTTCATTCATACATGAATACTTAGACACACACATAAATATAAACCAGAAACAGATCGCGCTCGCTGGCTAAGATTTAAGATTTAAGGTTAAGGGTAAAGGCATAAAACTGGCATTACTTATAAAAAACTTGCGGTTTTCTTAAACATTTTTTCAGTGTTTCTGAATCGATCTTGTTGAAATTGACTGCATCTTAATATGCTATAAAATATTCCTGCACTCGCAGGATTGGATTGTATATTTGGGGATTGGGAACTGGATTGATCTGTATATAATATACTTCGAGCAGCTACATGTCAATTTTTTTGGAGTTCAGCTTTTAAAACCTTTGAGATGTGCTATAAAGGCAAGTTTACGATATCGACATATTTATCGGCTGCCTATACGAGGGGAAATTTATCGATAATTTGAGAAAAGCTCGCTATGCGCGCTCACTAAAGGGAATTATGTTTAAATTGCAATACCCCCCCCCCCCCTCTTACCCGTTTTCGAAGAGTTTACGGTACAAACGGGAACGTAATTCTCTTTAAAATGTTTTTACATCAGCCGTGATTAGATTGCGCAACGGCAAGCGAACAAAAAATTGCAGGTGCAATCAAACAAACAAAAAAATAAAATCAAATTAATCAGCTCATAATAGGCGTGCAGAAATAAATACTAGTTAAATTAGTTTTACCCCGGATTGGGGGCGTATAAGAGATGGGGGAGAACCTTCGATACTTTATATGCTTTAAGTCTGTTTGCCAATTATATTTAGCCTTTGGCCTTTTATCAACCGGGACAAGAAACTGCCTGGTTCCAAGTGATACCAAATGGAATTTACTCAACAAATGAATGAATACTCGACGTTGACATAAATTGTAAATAATGTGAACAAACAAAATCTGGGTAGAAATAATCAAGAGAAGCAAAAAAGTTTCATAGATGTGCCACCAGAAAAATACACAAAACCCAAAGCATATTAAATTAATAAGCGTAGAGAAATAATAGCGTTAAGGTGGAACAAATTATACTAACTCCTTAAGATCACGTAACTAGCTTTAAAAATATATATATATATTTTTTTTAGGTAAAGGCCATATTATGCACCTTGAAATAAAAGGAAAATAAATATAACATATTATACATAAAGGCTATAGAACTGCAAATATTGTTATGGAAAGCAAAGCGAATGATTTGTTTCATATAACTTTATAGAGGCTGGAACATAAATATATTCTTTATAATATTCGCATTGTCTGGTATTGCTTTTGCATTTCTTAAGGATAACTTCTCTTTATTAGTACAATTGAAGGGTATTAAAAAGAGATACAAAATATTTCCCTCGCTCTTTTCTCATTTCTCTCTTTCTAAACTGCATAAAAAGGTGCATTTACATCTCTTATAAATACTTGACGAAATACAGGGGATCTACTAGAACTAGATTTGGGGCCCTCTCTCAAAAAAAAAAATACAAGCGCCGCCTCTGCTTCGTCTAGTCCATATAAACAGTAGCACATACTGATAAATCCCCACCGATAAAAACAAAAAACAATAGGTTGGCTTGTGTCTCATGATGTTTATATGGCGGGCAGCCTTATCGCTGCGTCAAATGGGATGAGCTCTTAGATAAGTGCCAGTTCGAGATTGTCGCATTCGCCTAACGAGTCCAAAAGGAAAAGACCACAGGGAAAGAGTCAGAGCCACAAAAGTGACGCAAAAGTTAATATTTGTTTAATGTTTATGCAGATTATGCGAAAGTAATTGCAATTTAGTTGTGATCCAAACCCGCATTGGTTCACACACAGACTGAAAATAAGGCTCAAGCCAGGACAAGTGACATACAAATTTATCTCTTATATTGTTGCAGCCAATCAGCGTGAAGCAACTAGTCTATAAATTTGCCTTGACAATATTGGAAAGTTTTCGATCGGTTTATTTGTGCAGCGAAAATCTCGACTTGGCATCAAATTTTTGCGCATATTCGCGCGTTTTAATTACAAACAACAACAACAACAGCTAGAGAGCTGCTGCAACAACTTCAGCTGCGACAAGTGGAACGAGTTGGCAGCAAGGTCTGTTTCGACGCCATGGAGAATCTTGGCTACAAGGAGGGCAGCACGAAGCCGCGCCGCATGACACGTTCCATCAGCGTCGTTACCAAGACCGAAGTGGAGCAGCCGCTCAATGAAAATAATGCGAATAACCGGTAAGTGCCAGTTGCCAGTTGCATTGCATTTTATCGGCCCATTCCATTATGTATGCCGACGTCGAACCCCTTCAAAATAACAAAAAAAAAAAAGTACCCAAAAAGTGAGAGAAACACAAATGAAATATGCACAAGAAAATAAGACTTGCACGTGCCATCCTTTTGGGTAGGGCAGGCAAATAAATTCGGGGTGGGGAGGGGGTCGTGAGTCGCAGTTTTACAGTTAACTCGCATTCGAGATAACTATAACCGTGTCGTCGAAATCATCTCCATTATTCCCACGCTTGCGAAGCCACGAACAAATCACATTCGAAATGTGCATGCACAACCATACACAACAATTGGGTAAACAAATTAATTTGGATAACACCAGCCGATAATGTGAATGGCATAATTCGCAAGTGTTGTACATTTATTGACTTTCGTTTGTCAAGCGTTCCATTCCAGGCCGAGTGTAAACACTTGGAGTTTTCCAGCTGCCGCTTGAAGGAATGAGAAGGGATATTACTAATACCGCAAGTCTGTTAAAACGTTTACAAATTGAAAATGAAACTGATTAAGCGAGTCATAATTTAAACATTGCGTTCACTGTTTAGTCAGCTAGGCAGGTGGTTTTGGTTCTTTTGGACTCTTCTACAAGTCATCCAATTACAACTGTCTGGCCAGCATTCCACTCTCCTATTTCGGCTGCAACTCTGCGCCCTCCCACGCCCACTCGTCAAGTCTGGCTCTCTTCGATTTTTTTTTTTTTTTGGCAATCGCTCTCACGCTTCACCTCACTCGCGTATACACGTTTGTGTGCGTGTGTATGTGCGGCGTTTCAAGCTCGATCGACAAGCTGGCACTGAGCAGCGTTTAAAGTTTTCCATCAGTCGGTATTGAAACAACAATGCAGGCGGACGCGTTAGTCGCTGGCTAAAACAAAAAAAACAGTTTCGTTAAAACGCGTTCGCAGTTCGTAGTTCGTCAGCAGAGAATAGTCGCAAACAACAACATCGAAACGGAAGTGAAAAATTCGCGTTTTCACACAACATTTTTTTTTGCATTTTCCGGCCGTTAGGCACAATTGTTGAAGTGCCACAAAAGGCAATCATTGTGTGCCACTTGGCCCTCTGTCTCTGACTGTCTATTTGTCTAACGGATCGGTCTGTAGATGGGTCACCCAGTCCGTGGACAGGTCGGGCTCTCCTATCTGTGTACAAACGCGGTCGCATTTTGGAAATGAAATTAGAAATTGAAAACAGCTCATTAGCGAATTGGCATCATCCGTGGATATGGCTGCAAACGGTGTACGTGCACACACACACACACACACACACCCATAAAAATATTTATATAAGAGATATATAATATAAGCCACTAAGTGCAGAACAAAGCTGAGTTTAGCAAACGGTCCCTGATTATGCAAAACTGCTGTAGAAATAATCAACTGCAACTGCGAAAAATCGCAAACAGTTCGAATCACACAAATAAGAAATTTTTGCCGCAGATGTGAACAAGATTTAACGAAGTGCACAACTATAAATATACAAATCTATGTATGTTAACAAATAAAATATATAATAATATACAAAAGTAACTGCGAGCTTTTGCATAACTTAACATTAAATTATGCTGATAAACTGCCTCGACTAGCTTCTCAATTATATGCATACCTCAAAGTCATCAACGTGCAGCGGCCGTGTCATTCAAAACAATAAAAATAAGCATTAAAATGCATAAATAAATAAATACGAAAAGAGCAACGGCAGCTAAATGACGTCGAAGATTAAATACGCTTGCAGAACAATTAATTACTTTTTTCATTTGTTTAGTTGTCGACAACAGTGCTAAAAAGAAATAATATAAAGTTTTAACCACTCTGTTACTACACTCTGTTATCACACTCATTACTTCACTCTGTTACTACACTCTGTTACTAGACTCCGTTACTCCAAATATGTCGAAGGAAAGCAGTTCAACAAATTCTGAACCATAAAACTTTAAACGTGATATATGATTTACCCTAATTAATGCTACGATTATATTTTGCGATACACAAATTTGTTGAATGCTAAAAGATAATCTAAATACAATTAACTTTGTACAATTAGCAATCGTATCAGGTACTAAAAAGCTACTAAGAAAGTTGAGTTTGAACTCAAAATGAAAGTGAAACATCAAGCAATAGCAGACATATACATTGTATATATGTTACATACAAATTAACCTCTTATACACTGAACCCATTTTGAATGGGTAATTATGGAAAGGGTATTATGGTTTATGTTTATTGGAAGGAGAAAGGAAATTTCACCGTCACCATAAAGTGTTTATAATCTTTTAAGCTGTTTGCGAACGCGTCGATCTCAGAGACTTTAAGAGACTTAAACTTGGAACTAAATTTCTCTTTTTGCGCATTTAATTCTCGATTTTCTGATTACGTTTTTTTGACCATTTCCCTTAGCTTTTGTCTAACAATATTCCTAGCCAAATGTTACATGTAATTTCTCGTATGCACAAGTATTCAGAATATTTTACTTTTTGGATAACTTTCCTAGTTCCCAGCTAAGTTCTGAAAAAATTTAGTATAGCCTTGCTCTTGTATTGTAGACACGTTTAAATTCTTATTAAAACACTGAACATTTTATATAGATCGGACTATTAACATCGAAGTTATTTAAGAATGCATTTTCGAAAGTAGGGGCTGCATGTCTGTGAGTTCTTCTTGATGTATGTATAAAAGAAGTTTTGGGTTCTGAGTTTTCTAGTAGAATGCTCGGAAAGGAAGTATACTAAATATTGAACTGAATTACCAAATTATCAGGAATTATACATTGACCAGTTTTTTAATATAAAAGAGGATTAGCTAGTCTAGATAAGAAGTTAAAAATAAAACGAATCTTTATAACTATTCGTATTTGGAGTGTCAGGATTTTATAGGCCCTATCTATTAATAGAATGAAATAAGGGAGATTTAGGGTTATGTAAATGTCTCTTTAAAAATTTCTGCTTTACAAATAAGTTAATTAATTTACGGCTAGCTAAGTTAAATGTTCTCTTGCAATTGTTTATAGCATATAAAGCAATCCAATAGCTAAAATTTTGTATTTTTATATTATTGTTTGAAACAGTTTCAAATCGATTCCACCCAATCTAATGGTGCGATGGCGCAACAACACTGACGCCATGATCGAAGCCCAGTATCCGACAGCTGGTGAATTCGAATACATGGAGTGTGGACCATCGCCGCCGGCGGAGAGTGCTCCGAGCATGTACGATAGCTTTGAGGAGCCAACAAGTGAGCTGAGCGTCCAGATCTGCAATGATACGCTGAGGATTAGTCTAATTGACCAGATGAAGAGCGCCGCTGGGCGGGTGCGCCTGCTGGAGGATATTGAACAGGGCAATGTCGTCGCCGAGGGCCTCGGCCCGCACTTCGAGACCGCTTCGAAGCTGGAGAAGAATCTGTGCTATCTGTGGGCAGCGTTCCTCAAGCGCTGGGACCTGCTCGAAGGCCTGCTGAAGGCGGGCGCCGATCTGCACTTTTGCGACCAGAATGGCATCTCGGCCTTGCATCTGGGCGCATTCAGCGGCTGCCTGGCCACGCTGGACCTGCTGGTGACCAAGGGCATTAATGTCAATCTGCAGCCGAAGTGCTACACGCCGCTGCACTGCGCCGCCTTTGGCAATGCCGCCGAGGCGGCCAAGTTTCTCATCCAGAGCGGCGCCCTCATCACCAAAGACACCAACAAGCCCAACTGCGAGGAGAGTCTGCTGCACTGCGCCGTGCGCTCCAATGCGCTCGAATGCCTGCAGCTGTTCATTGGCGAGGGAGCAGACGTCAATTCGCTGAAGCCGAATGGCACCAATGCCATACACCTGGCCGCGGATCTGGGCCATCTGCAGTGCCTGGAGGCGCTGTTGAATGCGCCCAATGCCGATGCCAATGTGCGCATCTGCATACGCGAAAAGGAGTCGACAGCTCTGCATTTGGCCGCCGATGAGGGCAACGTGGAGTGCGTCGATTTGTTGCTGTCGAAGGGTGCCGACGCCAAGCTGAAGAATCATCGCGGCTTCACGCCGCTCCACCTGGCCGCGCGCACCTCCAGCCTGGAGTGCGTGGAGTCGTTGCTGCGCAACGGCAATGCGGACGCCAATGCGGAGGACTTTGATCATCGGACGCCGCTGCATGCTGCGGTTGGCAAGTCCGAGAACGCCTACGATATCATGGAGATTCTGATCCAGTGGGGCGCCAATGTCAACCATAAGGACATCTATGGCTTCACCGCTCTCCATCTGGCCGCCCTCGATGGGCTCGTCCAGTGCGTCGAGATGCTCATTTTCCATGGCGCCGATGTCACAACCAAGTCAAAGAAGGGCACATCCGCCCTGAATGTCATCACACGAAAGACACCCGCATCGGTGGCCATGATCCGGCAGAAATTGGATGCGGCCATCACACTGCATCATTCCCAGGTAAATGAAATGATTCCATGGCCATAAATGAAAGATTAACCAATCATTTTTTATAGGATCCCGTGAATCGTGAGGTGGAACTGGAGCTGGACTTTCGCCAGCTGCTGCAGCACTGTCATCCGCGTGAGATCAGCTATTTGAATACGTTCGTGGACGAGGGCCAAAAGGAGATACTGGAGCATCCGCTGTGCTCCTCCTTTCTGTACATCAAGTGGGGCAAGATACGAAAGTATTACATCGGTCGCTTGATCTTCTGCTTTAGCTTTGTGCTCTTCCTGACGCTCTACGTGCTGACGGCGTTGGCGCACAACTGTTACAACGGCAGCAAGGACGACAACACAACGATTCAGGCCCAGGAGCTATGCCAGAAGCAATCCATATTGGGCGACATGCTGCGCAATAATCCGTTTGTCATGGAAATGCAATGGTGGGTCCTGGTAGCCATAACCATAGTGGAGATATTCCGTAAGCTTTACGGCATAACGGGCTACTCCTCGTTCCGGCACTATGTGACGCAGGTGGAGAACATTATGGAGTGGTTCGTGATAACCAGCGTGTTTGTCATCTCGTACATTTACACAAAGCAGACGTACACGTTCCAGAACCATATTGGCGCCTTCGCCGTCCTGCTCGGCTGGACCAATCTGATGCTGATGATTGGCCAGCTGCCCGTCTTCGATGTCTACGTGGCCATGTATACGCGGGTCCAGGGCGAATTCGCCAAGCTGTTCATGGCCTATTCCTGCATGCTAATCGGATTTACCATCAGTTTTTGCGTCATCTTTCCATCGTCGTCGTCGTTTGCCAATCCCTTCATGGGTTTTATCACTGTGCTGGTCATGATGATCGGGGAACAGGATTTATCGCTTCTGATCAACGATCCCGATGGCAAGGATCCGCCCTTTTTGCTGGAGGTCAGCGCTCAGATTACGTTTGTGCTCTTCCTGCTGTTCGTGACGATAATTCTGATGAATCTGCTGGTGGGCATTGCGGTGCACGATATACAGGGCCTCAAGAAAACCGCCGGACTCTCGAAGCTGGTGCGCCAGACGAAGCTGATCAGCTACATTGAGTCGGCGCTGTTCAATGGCTATTTGCCGACATGGTTGCGCAATCTGCTCCATTACACGGCGCTCGTCTCACCGCAGGCCTATCGCGTGGTTCTCTGCGTGAAGCCTCTAAATCCCAGCGAGAAGCGTTTGCCGCGCGACATTCTGATGAAGGCATACGAGGTGGGCAAAATGCGCAAGCACTTTGGTCACACCATCTCCTCCAAGAATCCGGGCGAAAATTATCTGTCGTACAAAAATAAGTACAACAATAATAACAACTGTTCAACAACCGCGTACGCAATGCCCGATCCGGATCCGGAATGTACACAGCTGACAACGCTGACGAGCAAAATAGACGACAATGCCGATCGCATTGAGTTTCTCACCCAGGAGATACAGGAGCTGAAGCAGGCGCTCATATCACAGCAGCAGCAGGCCAGCAAAGTGATTGACAAGCTGCTGATCGTCATCTCGAACCAACAGAAGCAGCAAATGCGCAAATAGCTGCTCCCAGCAAGCCATTTACTATTATTAATATTATTATTATTACTATTATATATTATTATATACATCCAAATCTTAGCCCTTAGACTCTTCTTGTGTGTGTAATCGTCCCATTGCCCCAAGATCCCGAAAAATGTTGATATTATATTGTAGTTAGCATATTTGATCTACATATTTATGCCTTTTAGCCATATACTCTACTATTCTACAATATATATATATATACAGATATACAATTAATAAAATCTAGTTGATAGGCTACATTAGAGGCGAGAAGCTGGCAGGTTTGTTTTTGTCTGCATTTTGATAAATGTGTCTGGTTTTAGGCTGTGTCTTTGTTGTTTGGCGTTGTCGTCTGAGATGCGTTTAAATGATTAAATTAAATATGAAAGGTATATGTTTTATATGAATAAACTATCTAAATATTTATTCTTATTAAAAGTCTATGCGAGAAGCGACCGATTCTTTCTATGTAAACGCTATAGTAGTCCGATGTCGAGATCTGTCCACAGTGTAGCTAATAAATGCAGTTTGGTCAAGAAATCTTGATTAACAAAAAACTTGTTCATAGAGGAACCTAATTCTCGACCTATCATTCCTGCACATAGCTCGGATTAAATATGAAAGGTATATGTTTTGTATGAATAAACTATCTACATATCTATTGTTATTAATAATCTTTGCGAGCTCTTAATTGACGAACAAATTTTACCACCGATTCTTGCTATGGAGGTAAACGGAGTCCGATGTTGAGATCTGTCCTATATATAAGGTGTGCTCGAAACAAATGCAATTTGGTCAAGAAATCTTGATTAACAAAAAAGTAGTTCATAGAGGAACCTAATTCTGGACCTATCATGCCTGCACATAGCTCGGAGTGGAGCCATCCGGCCGGTTTCACTGACGGATCTAGCCCGAGAGAACTTTGATAGACGGACAAGGATAATGGCCCCGGCTGTTGATACTGATCAAGAATATATATACCCTTTATGGGTTCAGTGATGTTTCTCATGCGTATACAATATAACTGATTAGAGGTATTTTAAAATTGGAATGTTTTTGCAAATTGGACTCACCTGTTCTCTGCACTCTTCCAAGCTGAAATACGAGATATCCTGGCCATTAATGGTTATCTTTCCTGTGCCGGGCAGACGCACTGTGACATCGGCGCGTGCCGTTTTGCGCAGACACTCGTAGGTCGTTACGTATTGGCGACCCTGCTCGTCAATCTTTGGCTTGGGCACCTCCAGTTGCTTCGATTGATCAATCAGGGGCTTTAGAAAGCGCTCAATAAAGGCTTTGCTTTTGTACGCATACGGCGATAAAATTAAACGCTCCATGGCACTCGTAAAATTGAGATATTCGATGTCCGCAATGTGCTCCACGAGCACACGCTCCAGTTGGTCCTTTGGCAACAGCTGGAAACCAGCCATTTCGCTATTAAAATAAATTGAACATAAATTCAACTGAATATGTAATTTTAAAGTGCAGTGCACCTACAGCTTTTGGTTCTCATCCGGCTTGTTTCCGCGCCGCAGCATGCGCTCTTCCAGCTCGTGAAGCTTATTTGTTTCCGTCACAATATCCTGCCAAAAAGTTTTTGATTGAATTTTGCGTATTTTAATGACAAAGCTTAGAGCTTACGTGCAGCAGCTGGAAATAGTTGGGTTTGCCAGTGTAAAACATGCTGTGAAAGGGGCGACCCGTCTCATCGAACTCGGCTGCTTTTCGCGCTGGAAACACCTCTTCGGGCGATCTCATGGAAGGCCGAGCGCGTTTGTCAAACAAACCGGACGGAAACAGATAGTTAATGGCTTCCTGCAAGTGATTGCTAGAGTAGGAAATTCTGACGATGCTTTTATATACTCACATTAATGTCCTCTTGGGTGAAGGTCTCTGCGTCGGCTCCCATCATGTTTGCCAAATGGCGCTTTCCAATTTGGAACTCCAAATGCTGCGTTTTCATAAACTCGTCGTGCTCATTGGCCCGCTCAAGGTAGGCCTTCATGGCCTTGCTCACCTTTTGCTTTTGAACCGCCGCCGGCGTAGCCTGGACAGTTACCTGTGTTGCGTACGGCGCCATCGCCACCTAAATGTTATGCAAACGAATCGGTGAGTTGTTTGTTCAACCTCTAATTGCGCCGTTAACTCAATGCGAAGGTTGCTATTCAACTTACCGCGTGCGCATTGGGTGCTCCATTGTTTTTGACAGCAGTTTGGAGCAAATTTCTGTTAGTTTTTATTAAATTTAAGCCTAAAACACGCAGTGACATAGTTCTTGTATTGGCGCACGGTGGGGCAGGAAGAGGAAGACAGTAGTCAGCTGTTTTGCGGCGTCAGTGTTGTGCAGTGTCCCAAAAACTAGGTGGCAACCCTTGTGTGGCGATTTAATGTGCGCCAATATTAAACTCAATTCTTGCTAGGCTTGACAACTTTGCTGCGGTATTATTTAAAGCTATCTTTATGAAATGTTGCAAAGAAGATCAGAGAACTGAGTCCTAATGTGTATATTTTGCCTTCATTCTGTTACCCAGTCCAACCTCTCGCAAAAATGCGGATTTACCGTGGCTTATTCCGAATCTGTAGCCCCTATGTGAGCAAATCTTACCCCACTGATAACTAGGAAGTTCCCTGGAAACTTTAGTTGTCCTCGATATAGAGTCTGCATCCACAATCTTGAGCTTGATCCAAAGATTTTTTATTATAGCTTTGGTGCAACGGTCTATATGAGCGGTCGAAAAATTGTCTTAAAAATTATTTATAGGAAAATAATTTTAGTATTCAAAATATAATACCGAGATTGGCTAAATAACGCGATTAAGCACAAGATTATTAAGGTAAAAAAGTACAGACAATATGTTGAGGCCATATATGTTAACGCAATAAAAACACAGAAATTTACCTTTTGGCCTTCTTACAAATGTTTTTTATTGACTAATTTGAAAAACACACAATGCTGATATTTTGAATTATGGAAAGTAAACACAAAACGAAACAAAAAATGCAATGAAAACTTCTTCAACAGATAATTACTTGATTTTACGCTATATATATATTTATAAATAATTGCCTAAGCTTAGAGAAAAGAATTGTTATCAATTGCATTATTAGGTAAAATGCAGCTACTTCAATTCATTCTCAACGGTCTACTCCACTTTTCTTCATGTTATTATTTTTGGTCGTAGTACAATTTACATAAAGCAATTACATATTTATAATAATTCCACTTCTATTTCCACGCCTGTTTGAGCAACTTACGCGACGCTAAATGCCTAACAATCAAAGAGCCCGAAGTGAGCACGACTAGCACTATGGAAATTAATATATAGTCAAAATCCTCCTTCAGCAAATCGAACGTTTTTGATGGCGAAACGCGCGTAACGAACAAGTCTGCAATAAGAAATTGATTAGCATTGATCGTATGAATTGATCGTAACATTTAATTTACCTAAGCCCGTGGCCACAACTAGACAGGTACTCTCCAGACCGCTTGGTGCCGTATAAATATTACGTAAACGTGCAACCGTCTGATTGTAATTTATATAATTTTCAGTTGGCAAAGGCAACTCAGGTATATAGGGAATGGCGCCCTCTTCGCGACCCTGCGTAGTGGATGATATCGGACGACGTGGATCCAGCAAGTGCCAGGGCATTTCAACAATGCCGCCGCTGGCAGTTCCAACTGTACAAGTAAATAAACCAAATTATTTCAAAACTATTCCCAAAGATTATAATATTCGTTGTCTTACTTAGGACATGCTTGTTGGTAATCCCGCGTTCGGTGATGGTCTCGCGCATTGCCTCCACAATTGTGGGTATGATGTAAGATTGACGCTCCACGAGCGGCATGGACGGTGCCTGCAAGGAGCTCCAGACGCTATTGTTGGCCTGCGCGTTGCCCTCATACAGTTCAATCGTGGCTGTTTTAAGTAGAAGACTGTCATTGAGGAATTTACCATTAAATGGGGTTCCATTTCACTTACTGATCTCAGTTCGTCGCACTTTATCGTTGAAATAAGAATAGGCTAGCCAATTCTCCGAGTGTACAATGTGCAGTGGTGGACGAACCTTACGATGCGTCATCGAGAAGATGACGGAGCCAGACACAACATCAATTAAGTACAAATTGAGCACCGCTAAATAATATAAACACAAAAAATATATTTAAGAATTGCACGTGAAGTTTTCACCTGGGTTGACCTACATTTGTGGGTGGCATCTGGAGCCTGTGTAACGAAGGCAACTAAGTTCGGATTTATGTACTTGTAGAGCACCGAGCGATCGCCTAGCACACGGCCCTGAGAGTGCACGTGCTCAATAGGATTTTTGCTAGCAACGCTAATGATTTGCTGTTCTGAGTTGTGTCCGCCCAGACGCACATTCCAAATGGGCAAGCATGATAGTTCCTGCAAAAGTAACAGTTGACTAAGAGTTTCAATCTTTGTATCTTTTTTACTTACACCGCCCGCATATTTCACAAAATAGCCCTCGAGCTCAGCGGTCTTCACATTAGCTGTGTACAGATACAAGCCATGTGCCTGCAATAATAATGCGGGTTAAAATTTAACCAATTGATGACATGGTTTAATTTACCAAAGGCGTCGCATGCTTAGGCTCCACATGTACTTGGTTGGTCCCATCCAATATCAGAATGCCCTTGACAAAGTCTTCTTCTGTTTCGGGAAGAAGCGCTAACTGCTTAATTTGGTAATCCAGTTGGAGCAGTCCACCTTCGGCAGCGCGTCCTGTGATGGGGTTGAATCGAAATAATACACCGTTGCTATTAACCTGTCGGAGAGAGAGTTATATGAGCTTTTCATAATGCTTACAAATTCTATTTTAATCATACCGCAGATTTGGCAACAATTGCGCAAAGCGGCTGCAATGGAAAGTGTTTGGAGCTTCGTTGCACAATCAGACGCATCTGTTCCGCATTCTCAAAGCCCGCTACATTGGGAAGATACAGCTTCCAATGATGTTTGCCGGCAATGTTGTCGACGCCAAAGATTTTGCCCGAGCGTGTCAGCAGCACCAGCATCTTGTGAAGTCCAAACGAATCACGCACAAGTCCAGCCCGTTGCGTATCCGTCGGTGGTGGGCCCAACCCGATGACATGCAAGAACAGGCTCTTCATTTGTAGTGCTTGCGTGGTGATACGTCGCATAAAGGCGCTTGCAATGTCACCTAACGAGACGAGATAAAAATCGTTTAAAAAAGTACAGTCCAAATGTCCTTAAAATAATTTTGTTTTGTTTTAAATGTATACCTAAGTGTGCATAAACATAAATGCGTGTTACTAATGTTTATGCTATTTCAAGTATTAATTATTTGACAGTTACCCTTACCTAACTATTACGTACATTTAATTAAGAAACTGTGGCTGCGTTCTTTATACCCAAATATTTCAATTATACCACGAATATATTTTTATCAATATTTGTGCCATAGTCGGCTTTAAATTAGTTTAATGTGACGAACAACTTACGATTTAAACTGTTTGCATCCACTTTTGTAAGCATTAACAAAATATATGAGTAGAATTATGCGTAATATGATAAATATGTAGTTTATAGTAGACCTGCTTACCTGCTTTGCCCTTCATTTCGTTCTCAAGCGTGCCCTCTGTATCAGCTAAAGGTAAATCAATGAACTGCGTATCAATAACGTTCGCTAAAGATTCCTCGCGAGCCCAACGGACACGTCCTTGCTGCACGGCAACAATGGACTCAGCGCTGGTGGCAAAAATAAAGAGACAATTTTTTCCATCGCCATTGCGCTTCGCCTTGCAGTCAAATGATCGAAGACTGGGCGTTCCAAAGTCTTCCGCAAACGCTACGCTCAGCTGCAGCTCAGGCACGGGCGTGCAGTTGTCCACATAAACAGCATTAATTTTGAGCACCTGAAAGAAACCAGATTTAGTAAAGGCATCTCATAGGCTGTTCAACTATAGTCACTTACGCCGTCTACCAAATCGGCAAAGGCCAGAACTTTGCGTAAATTAAAGCTGCCGACAACATAGCTGGCGCTGTTCAGTTCAGAGCACACGGCCTGATCCTTGTTAACACTTATGAGTTTTTTATCGACAATCAGCAAGCCGTTTAAGCCCTGCAAGAACGTTGTTAGCAGGATAATCAATTATTACTTTTTGATATTACTCACCGGTAGAGATTGAATTTTGCTGCTGGGTTCGCCCCCTAAAGGCGTGGCAATGACCTGTGTGCTCTTAGCCACCAAATCCAGGCTTATGAGCTGTTTGCCATCCAGGCAAATATAGAAGGTGCCGCTTAGCAAACAGCTCTCTGGCTTAATCCAAGCGGCCATTATCTTGCTGGTGCTACCCGTTGTGTGTCCTGAGGTTGCAAAGTATGCGGTAACCTCGATATGGCTGCGCCAAACGGGCACGACATGATAGAGCACAGAATTGCTATAAAACCAGACCGCATCCTGTGCCCTTTCCGTATGCAATGGCATTATGGACCATTCCCACTCGATAGTGCCAATATTTGTGTTCCAGCCGCGCACCAGAGCTGGCGCGTGGCCCTGCACAGTTAGCATATCAAAGCCAAGATGTGAGCCCATTGGAGCAGCCGCCGTGTCGCTGCTATCGTCGGCGAAACCGCTTACTTGTAGAAGCTTGATGTCGCCACGCGGCTTTTGCTCTAGCACCTGTCGCCAGATAATCTCACCGGTCTTTGGACATAAGGAGGCAACCACTTGCTCGTGCGTACTTAAGAGTACGCGCGGTTGAAAATGGTTGAGGTCGACGTGAACTTGTTTAAGAGCGCCCAGATGAACGCTTCGCCTGTTTTATAGAAAGACGGTTAGTAAAAGGTCAACGTTTATGTTTGTGACACTTGCCAGTCAAATTTCTTAATCTGGTCCTCGTAAAGGCCAGAGCAGGTGCTCAGCAGCAGCAGCAGCAGCGAGAGGCAGATAAGCGTACCGGCTGAAGACTGTCGACAAGCCATTTTTGTGCGGTTCGCTTTGAAACCTGCTTTAAACTATATTAGGCACGAATAACGCAATGGCCGACACGTTTTTAAGTTATAAATTAATGAAAACGTCAGTAATTTGTGTTTTCCGTCATAGTAAAGGGGGATGAGATGACAATTTTTGCAGGGCTGTAGCTGCCTTATTAAATCGTCATCGATTATTCCAGCAGACGTTGATCAGCACTGTTGCTACCTATCGATAACAAATCGGCTGATGTTTAAATACGCTAACGGCTACAATCGGATTTACAAACCACATTCAGAGTATGGTTTAGGCTCGAGTATTTTTCTTTTAAAGACTTAATCCTATTGATGAACATAATTAGTAACAGTATTTTTAAAAAAGAATTGATTTAAGACAGTCCTACTTTCTAGTTATAATATAGTTGTATGATCGGAAATAGGGATAAGTTCTCACCAAACTATCCATATTTATCTGTAAATACAAAATATAAATTTTTTCCAACTGACCGAAACTAAAAGATTTACTGCAGTTACTACATGGAACGTAATTAAACATAAAAGGGGCTTCGAAAAATCGTGGAAGACAGTTGAATCATTTATGTTTATCGTCCAATTGACCTCAAACTCATTTTCAAAGATCTTTGTTAAAAATAATTTGACGGAAATAGGGATTAAAGATTTAATGAGTGAAATTTTCGGTCCAAGTATATTAATTTCGGAAAATTCACCCCTACCGGGTGGAAAATAGGTTTCAATAGTTTTATGGACAAAAGTATATTTTTACGCTTCAAGCTATGACTAAAATGACGAATTCGATTAAGCCTAAACTAATTTTTAAATAGCCAGGCAAATAGCTAAATTCAAGATAGTACGGATTCTAAGTCGATTTGTCACGGCTGGGAAATGGGTGGAACATTGTCTTAAATCGGCTGGGAAATAGCAGCTAACACTTATATATATATCAGTAAATATATATACATACATAAGAGATTGTATATTTAAAATCGAATCGCTTGATAGCCGAATATTTTGATCAATTTCAAATTTAGCGACTGGTTTTTTGTTTTATCTGCGCTGATCTAGAAATGAACCGATGCATGGAAATTGCTGAGCACCTTGGGACTGTATCATTGAGCTGTTACCAAAGATGCTTGTGCTAAATGTCTTTTATTATTGGCATTCATATTTTACGAAGCTAAACAACAAAAATTGCAACAATTTATAATAGTTGGCCATTCGTTGGCAATATTGATGGCTATTTCTTTTGTACAAAATTTGTCAATTTGTCAATTGTAGGAGGAAGAGAGCTTTTCACTGAAGAGCTACTAAATCTAAATATGTATAAAGAGTGTATAATTTGAGCTTAAGAATTACTTGAAAATCATTTAAATGGAATTGGATACAAGCTCCATGGGTGGGGCGTTAAATGCAAAAGTGCAGCTACATTATTTGTGACAGTAATTTTGAGCGCTCGTGGGCTTTATACTGCAAAGTTATATATTCCGAGCTACGCAAGCAAATTGTTCACCAGCTTAGCTCGTCCGGCAGTCCGCCAGGATATTCGCCCGTCAGGCAGGCGGTGCAATGACCCGTCGCCTTGCCAGATGCCACATGTTTGCGCTGCACCGTCTGCACGAGACCGGCAACGCTCAGATAGGCCAGACTGTCGGCGCCCACATGACGGGCCAGTTGCTTGGCGTTCAGCCTATTGGCGATAAGCTCCTCGCGCGTGGGTATATTGATGCCCATGTAGCAGGGATACTGTAGCGGGGGGCTGGCAATGCGTATGTGCACCTCCCGAGCGCCTGCGTCGCGCAGCAGCTTAATTATCGGTCCAATTGTGTTGCCGCGCACAATGGAATCGTCTATGAGCACCAGCCGCTTGCCGGCCACATTCCCAGACAGCGCGCCGAACTTCTTGGCAACGCCCAGCTGCCGCAGTCGTGTCGAGGGTTGTATGAAGGTGCGACCCACATAACGATTCCGGCACAGTACCTCGGCGAACTCCAGATTGGACTCGCGCGCATAGCCATGGGCTGCGGCAGTGCCCGACTCTGGCACGGAGCTGACAATATCTGCTTCGACAGGTGCCTCACGCCACAGCTGGCGACCGCACTCCAGGCGCACCGAATACACCATCTGGCCCTCGAAGATGCTGTCGCCTCGGGCAAAGTACACATATTCGAAGATGCAGAAGGCCATGCGCTTGAAGTCCGGACGCTCCACAATGTCAACGGTGCGATAGCCTTTGCGTGTCAGCTCGACAATCTCGCCCGGCTCCACTTCGCGCTCATAGCGCGCACCAATAGACAGGAAGCCGCAGCTCTCACTGGACACCACCCAGCCGTCGGCAGGTGTTTCGGTGCTGTTGCCCGCATGGCCAGAGTTTATGGGCACAATTTTGCCAATGCAAAGCGGCCGATTGCCATACGTGTCGCGCACAGCATAGATCTTGTCCGTCAGCATGATGACCAGCGAGTATGACAATGGCGCCAGCATCATAAAATGCCGGATGCGAGCCGGCCAGTTGGGTCCGTCATGCTCGGAGACGCCCTCCGGGGCGCAGCAAAGCGATTGAGCTATCAACTCACTGTCGCTGTGTGTGGACAAGCCGACGCCGCGGCCCAGCACCTCGCGACGCAGAGATTCATTGTTGACCAGCTCACCGTTGTGGGCCAGCGCCATGGCGCCATGCGCCGTGTGAACCACAAACGGCTGGCAGTTGACCACCTCCGATGCACCAGCCGTGGAGTAGCGTGTATGGCCAATGCCCAAGTTGCCTCGCAGCTTCTTCATCGAATCGTCGTTGAAAAGGGTGCTGATCATGCCCATGCCCTTGTGCACATTGAAGTTTTTGGAGCACTTGCCCTCGCTGGTCGCAATGCCCGCCGACTCCTGCCCACGATGCTGCAATGCCACCAGACCCAAGCAGATCACGTGAGCAATGTCAATCTGGGTTGGCCAGTCGCCGCAGGCAATGGCACCAAAAACGCCGCACTCATGCGTCAAACCGGTTAGTTCCTTACATTCGGCAATGGACAGCGGCGCTGACGACGGCGTGGGCAACTCGGCCTCCACCTGTTGATCATGGCTCTCAATGCGCACATGTTGCTGCGGTTTCAACGAAACGTTGCTGCTGCTTGACATGTTGTTGCTGTGTGGAGAGGGGCTATTGTTAACCAGCTCAGTTAATGGAAGGCTTTGATCTGATTTACCTGTTGATTTATGCAACGGTTTTATATACACAAATCTTCGCTTCACACACGCAGGCAACTTACCGCGATCATTAGCAAAAGCAAAAGATCGATGATTATATCGATAGTATCGATATATTCTTATGGGCCCATATGACTTGCATATCGGTAATAACGGAAAACAGCGGCTTCAATAATTTCAATTATTATTTGTTTAAATTTTAATTAATCTTTGCATATTTGAATGTTTGCAACGGAGGGAGCCTCTTGCCGTCTTTTTTTTTTGCGTGTTCGCTGAAGCCTTTACCTCAGATTTATACAATCTATACGCAGTGGGTAAGTGCTAGCATGTGTAAATATTTAAAAACACCCCAGTCTTAATTATCAGCATATTTATTATTACCAAATAACTTTACTCACATTCCCGCTAGTTTTACAAGACTCTCTATGTAGTCAGTTTAACGCCAATGTGTAAAACTAAGATACAAGAAAATATTTAAAAGTCTGTTCATCTCTTTAATATGTACAAATAATTTGAGTTGCTTTGTTCCCGCCCAATGCTTTTTAAAATTGTTCAACACTGAATGCAATCAGAGGATCGGTTTTCGAGCGAACTACCAGCTCGATAGACCTTTTGAATGAACTATAAGGAGCCGCTTGTCACTTAATTATTTGAGAAAGAAAGAATTGCCTTTTAATGAATGGTAAAAACCTAAATTTGTAATCCTTTTTTGTACATACAAATCTGAAATTCATAAATAAAAAGAACTTTATTTGTTACGAATAATTATGGGTTTGGATATATGATTAAATTTATGATGTATGATGTATGATTCCGGTTCCGAAACCGAGTTCTAACTTGACGCACGCATACTCTTCAACACTGTTTCTTGCAAAACAGCTGATTGAAATTGTTATTTTCGATTGCACGTGTTGAAGCCGAAAGCATTTGCATTGTTGTATAAACATTTAATTTTAAATTAAAATGATGACACTGTCGTCTGATCAGAAGGCGCCTCTAGCCGCAGATTCGTCCTCGGATAGTGGAGATGAATGCGAAGTAAGTGCGTGCAACAGCGAAGGTAATCCCGCCTGGGCAAGAACTATTGCCAAATTGCTGAAACAAAATCCGCCTGAGAACCAAAAGAGGACGGTGCTTTCTCGGGCCAAAAAATTGAAGCCCAACAATGCTCAGGCCAACAAAGCTAAGAAAACGTATGACTTTGAAATCGATGGAACTGAAGTAGAGCCCAAAAAGAGAAAGGACGTCAAGAAAGAGAAGCCGTCCGAACTCGATGCTCACCTGACGAGTCAACAGCGCAAGAATGTGCCGCTGCAGCTGCGGGTCAAACCAAATGCTCAGGACCTGGAGCGAGAGCGCAACTTGCGCAAGGTGGCCACAAGCGGTACGGTGCAGTTCTATAATGCGGTGCGCATCCAACAGAAGGAACTTCAACAGCAGCTGGAGGATGCCGGCCCGTTGGACAGTCGCAAGGATGCGGTGCTCAACAACATTGATAAGGGTAAATTCCTGGACGTATTGATGAGCGGTAAGCGTGCAAGGTCCGCTGCTATAGACAACAGAGTAAAGAAAGAGGAGCTGGAGTCGGAGTCGGAGTCCGAGTCGGATGATGAGGACTCAACAAATGGTAAAATGACAAAAGATTCGGGCAACAAAAAGAAGTCCGAATGGAATGTGCTGCGCGATGACTTTATGACCAACAAGAAAATCAAGCACTGGGATGAAGAAGAAGAAGAAGATGATGATGAGAAGGCAGAAAGTGACGCTGACGAAAACAGCGCCGCGGAAAGCGAAGATGATGATTAGTATATAAGTATCTGTGCTATTTCTAGTTTTTAATAAAATAATTACAAATTGATCATTTCTGCATTGGAGGTCATGTAAATGCCAACAATTAAACCAAATAGTCCAATTGCGGATCCAAAGATTTCAACAATCAGAATCTTGACAAACAATGCCGAATTGGCGGCATCCGATAGTGCTGCTCCTGAGCCCACAATGCCCACGCAAATGCCACAGGAGAGATTGACCAAACCAACCGCAAGACCGGCGCCAAATGTTGCAAATCCAGTAAACATATTTTTGGTCATTACTTTATGATTGTTGATCACACGGTGCGTAACATAGGACTGCAGACTTCCCGAAAACACAATGGCGCTGATCAATCCGTAAATGGCCACTGCTTCGCAGAATATTACAGAGATAAGATTCTTGGTTCGGATGCGTGGCGAGCGGACGCCTCCTCCAACCACACTGGTGCCGGTCGTATATATGCCCATGGCAGCACCGACAACAGATAGTGAAACGCAGAGTCCAATGCCGAGGCCAGCCCACATGTGCGGATTGGTTGTATGAAGGAACCAGCTTAGACCAGCACGATCGCCCAGGCCGGCCATTAGGTTTGCTAAAATGGCGGCAAACCCGACGAATATAGATGTGACGAAGAATATAAGAAAAATTGTGCGTATGCGCATTTTTGCTATTTAACGTTTTATACGAATGCCGATTACGAATTGAAAGTAACTTAATAGCCCAAAAAAATAAAGGCGTCTGTCAACGAATTAATGTATGTTTCTTCCTGCTTATTTCTCAACTGTCAGAATTGTATTTCAAATAATTCGTTAAATTTAGCCGACCGTGTGACGTCACAAATTCATTGCGGTGCTGCCAACTCGCTAAGCGCCGTTGCGTTAAACTTAACGGCCCATTCGAGTATACAGACAATGTTTTTTGTTTATTTTAAAATTAGTTTTTTTTTTATGTTTTAAATAATATTAAATTAAAATTTAACGATTCGACTTGGCCACGCGTTCAAGTTCATCCTTCTTCTTTATAGCATAAGAATTGGATGAGCCCTTAGCGGCGTTAATCATCTCATCGGCCAGACACTCGGCTATAGTTTTAATGTTGCGAAAAGCGGCCTCACGAGCTCCAGTGCAAATCAGCCAAATAGCCTGCGCCATTAAGAGAAATTAGTTAGCAACTTATGTTGTAATATGCTTAAGCTAAACTTGCCTGGTTGACACGACGCAATGGCGAAACGTCAACCGCCTGGCGACGCACAGTTCCAGCGCGCCCGATGCGTGTAGAGTCCTCGCGCGGACCGGCGTTCACAATGGCATTTACGGTAACCTGCAAGGGATTCTCAGAGGTCAGCAAATGGATTATTTCAAATGCATGCTTCACAATGCGACAGGCAAGCAGTTTCTTGCCATTGCTGCGACCCTTCATCATTAGGCCACAGGTCAAGCGCTCCACAATGGGGCACTGGGCCTTGCGGAAACGTTTGGCTGCATAACGTCCAGCCGAGTGCGGCAGATAACGTGCAAATTTCTCCTTGACAGCAATATAGTCTTGCAATGAAATGTCACTGATTGTAATGTCATCGCAGCTCCAGCGGCCAAATATCTTTATCTCGGGCCACTCGTTGGCCGGCACCGGTTCGTTAAATTCATTCGGATCGTTTTCCTCCCAAACGGCATCTTCTACTTGATGCTGGTTTTGGTCCTGCAGCTGTTGCGCCTCTGAATTATCGTAACCCGGTTCGTATGGACATTCGCCGTAGTCGGACATTTTGATATACTTGCTGCGCTTAAAATGGACACATTATATTCTTCACAATTTGACAACAGTTTATAAAAAAAAAACTTACTTCGTTTCCAGGAGTAAATTGGAAAAGTGCGACCGCTTCCGTTGAAAGGAAAATACAAAAGAGATTGATTAAACTGCCAGTGTGGCTGTGTTTAACAGATGAAATATTACCAAGCTCGCAAATCTGGCAGCTTTGTTAATAGTTGCTGAATTATATATACTATAGGTATTCCTGTAGCCGTTTTTTTTTTTTCAAATTTAATTTTCTTTAACGGCGAAACTCAAATCGGAAATATCAAGCAAAATGCATAAATGAAAAATTCTATAAATGACTTCACGATGTACGTCCTGACTTTATTCATTTATGCATTTTGCTTGATTTTTTCGATTGCATGCAAGCAATTGTTCATGAATTATTATTAGAAATTATTTTTATAATTTAACAGTATTTACTGATGGGGTGATTTAACCCTATTGCGATTAGGTTATTCAAAGATGTTGCATTTTTTTTGCATTTGATGTACATATACATCGACAATGCGACGGGGGTTGTTTTTTTGGGGGAAGTTAAAGTCCTATGGCAAATGGCTTACAAAACAAGTTAAATCAGTTTGCATCAGGACTGAAAACCGAAAATAAGACTGGATAGTTCGATTCGCGGTTCATATCAGCGCTCCCTGCTGTTAGGCTACGTTCGTGGACCCGGCTTTTCACATCCCTTATTCCAGATTTTGTTGTATTTAAATTGAATTTCATATATGCTATGATTTTGACCGAATCGTTCTGGTTAGGGTTTCAACTTGGCTGTTTTTCCGGATTAAATGGTTTGGTGTAAGGTTCGACTGGAATTCCGGGCCCGGTTAAAAGCATGGACTTGGCGTTCACTTACTTACACTTACATACTTACATACTTACACTTACAAAAGCAATATTTGGGCCGTTTTGAGTTTATATTATGGAAAGAACTTGTGCGGCGATTAAAGTTGGATCAGTCGGTTTAGGGGATTATTTAACAAAACATGTATTTAATAGTTTTTATATGGAATACTTTCTATAATAATAATAATATTGTGTGTGTACTTCAATTACTTCTGGTTTAACAATAGCATAAAATACACAGTTTTTTATATTTATTATTTGTAGTTGTAGTTAATATAATACATTTTTTTTTAAGAAATACAAGTGCCAAAATTGAACAAATAATATTAACATCTATACACTATATACTTATATCATAAACACACACATTTGTCTTTCGCACACATGCAAATAATATTGATAACTACATTAAAAACAAATCGACGTAATTTTTACACGGCGCACATTCAACGTTTGATGCTGAAATTAAACGAAACGCGCGCAGCGTAAAAATTGCATATTTAACTTTTCAACTTAAGTAACTAAAGTCCCATGTTGTCGTGATCGAAGCGGGGAGGATTATCTCCTGAAACTGTAACTGCGTATGACGAGTTGTAATTTCCAAAAAAAAAAAAAAAGGAACACCGTTGTTGTTGTGTTTTAGTTAGTTGTCGGAATGGCTTGGTGACTGATAAATGTTGTTGTTGTTGTTCTTGTTGTGGGTTGATGAGGCGCGTGACACAATAACTGCAAAAGTTTTTGTTGAGCGGTTTTGAGTGAATATTGATTAAATTAGTTAATACTTACATTGCGAACGATCTGCTGCGTCCACTTAATCCTTATCACCCATTTTGGCTTTGGATGTCATATAAATGCCCACAATCAGACCGAAGAGACCAATGGCCGAGCCGAAAATCTCCACAATCAGAATCTTGACAAACAATGCAGCGTTAGCTGCATCCGAGAGCGCTGCTCCGGAGCCAACAATGCCGACCGCAATACCGCAGAACAAGTTGACCAGGCCGACGGCAAGGCCAGCACCGAAAATCAGATAGCCCGAGAACCAATTCTGGTTCATCACGCTCTCGCTGGCGAGCGCCGATTCCATTTTGAACTGCTCCAGCTGACCGGAGAGGACAATGGCAGTGATTAGGCCGTAGATGGCGACAGCCTCGCAGAAAATGACCGAAATCAAATTCTTGGTCTTAATGCGTGGCGCCTTGACGCCACCGCCCACAATGCTGGTGCCCGTGGTGTGTATGCCAAGGGCAGCGCCGACAACGGACAGGGAGACGGATAGTCCGATGCCCAGACAGGCCCACATGTACGGGCTTGAGGAGGCCAAGAACCAGCCAACGCTTACGCGTTCGCCCTTGCCAGTCATAACAAAGTAGAGGATAAGTATGGTGGACACGGCGAGGAAGAGCCATAGAAATGTTTGCGTTACGACTGTGCGTATTTGTGGCGCCATCTTGCACGTTTTTTTATCTGTCTATTGTTAAAAACACTGCATAAATTGAGATTTTGCAATAAATTCAAGTGGTATTTACCTAATTGCAGGCGTAATTGTATTTTTCTCGGCCGACAGGTGACTACTTCGTGCGAAAAAAAGAATCCACAATCACATGACGTACATTTTCTCTATCATATGGTATCGAGTAAATCACGCTAATCGATACATATTCGATATAAGGTCAAACGTCAGAAAGCGAATATATATAATCGTTGAAGTACTCAATGCGAAGCTGATTGCTACACAACTCTGCGAGTTGGGGTAATTGCCAAAGTTGATCACAGATGGCGCCAGTGTGCTGCGCGCGTTGATTTCAAATCCAAAAAAAAAGAAGAGAATAAAAATGTTTGTGCGAGAATTATATATTTATAAGAAACTTTCACTTAAATATGCACTGCACTTTCATGCTTATGCTCTATAAAGTTGAGCGCAAATTACATTTATTTTTTTATTTCGTTTTTATTATCTTTGTCTGCGGCTCAATGATTCGCCTGCCAGGTGGGCGGGCGGGCGTCCACAAAAACGAACAAGTTATTATGTCAATGCTTTTATTTTGCATTGTACGCATGAAAGATTTCCGGCCAGCAAATCCAAAAAGGCACAACAGCCCGCGACATTTACAGCTCATTGAATTGACCAGGTTGCCCGCTCAGCGGGAGAGCACGTTTAACAGCGACCACGTGATGGCAACATAATCTAAAGTCGCATCATCATTAAATATTTACACTACATTATAATTTTTGTTCTGCTGAGGCGCGTGCCCGGCAAACACAAAAGCCCGGCCCAATGCCTTGGCCAAGGAGTCTCAGACCCAAAATGCTCTCAAATATTGTTGTTGTTGTTGTTGTTGTCGTGTGTCGACAACCAGAACATTCAATTAAACGTAATGCGTTGTTTGTTGTCCCTCCAAATAGGCGGCTGCCGCCTACTATATACCTACATACATACATACATACATACACACATACATCTTGATAAGAAATGTAAACTTTCTCACTTGAAAAATCCACCACAGCATAAAGAGTGAAATAAAATGAGAGTCGTCTAAGGTCCAAATATAAGTATAGATATAGAGTGAGGGGGAGGGGGAGTGGGGAAGGCAGTGGAAATGTGCTGCTGGGGGTGGGTTGGGTGGTCATCGCCGTGTGTCTCAAGTCAAATATCACAAGAAAAATCCATTAACCTGCGTTTTTTCCTCTTGACTTATTTTCGGTGTGCGCTTTATCTCTGGGGCCGACACGCTTCTTGTTTATCCGCATACATCTAAGCAAATGGCACTAACCCCAAAATGGGGAAGTGCGGCAACGTGGCGATTTCAATTACAGTCTAAATGTTTAAAATTTAAATTAAAAAGAAAGGTTGAACGTGGCGTGGCCGAGCTGTAGAGGGACTTTAGAACTAAAACTATGGGAGGACAGGTAGATTTGTGCAGAAAAAAACTACGTTTATATGGACAAAGAGCGTAGAAGACAAATGTCGCTTGCGAAGTAAAACACAAAATCGACACGTCCATTTTAGTCGAATGTTCGATCGCGACTGACTTCGCGTTCGTTTTATGCTTACTGACTAAAGGAGAAGAGACTGGAAATTAATGCATGTGTGAGCGAGACAAGAAGTTACTGGACTTGTCAAGCTCTTCTTGCAAGCATTAAAGTGCGAGAGTGAATATAGCAAATTGAGCGAACTTGAGATAAATGGGAACGGCATGTGTGAGCGAGACAAGAAGTTACTGGACTTGTCGAGCTACTCTTGCAAGCATTAGAGTACAAGAGGAATAGTAGAATTGAGCGAACTTGCGATAAAAGGGAAGTTGTTGCCCAAATGGACTTGACTATGTGTCTGTGTATGTGTGTATACATGTATTTATCCTACTACAACAGTTTTGTATGACTGTACATACATGTATTTATCCTACAACAACAGTTAAACCAATACACACTGTTACACTTTGTGAACAGGATGTTGAAGTTCATGTTCTTGATGGGGAGCACGGCTCGTAATTGTTCAATAATGTTGTTTTGTTGTTAAATTTATTATTAAAAATGATTCAGATTTCACATAAATACGAATTGCATGACTTATTTGAAATTCATTTTCCTTTATTTACTTTTGTAGCTGTGTTTTGCAGAGACTATTTTTTGGACTTTCGCAATCGCCTCGATTGTCTCCACGAGCCTCTCTAGCACTGCCTCGACTTGTAAGGACTGTTCGGTTAGGCTGTTTCAAATACGTTTTTCTTTGGCTCAATTCAATTATTTTTGCATCAACCACTTACCGGGCTAGATCCTCGCGTAGAGACACCATTGCTTCAATTTTGGGCGGAGGATGTTGATTCCTTGGACGTGAATCTGTCCAGATTTCCTTCTCTGTAAATATAGGCATTGCAATTGTTCTTCTCTCTTTTTCGCGGTGGCGCCAAAAGCAAAAATATTGTTTGAAGCCCTGGCCAAGCATTTGCAGGACCTCGTGATCATTCACAATCATTTTGGCCTTCACATCTGAATAGGCGGCCAGATAAATGGCCACAAAGAGATTCTAGAATAATTGCACGTAACTTTTGTTATTTTTTGTTTTTATATTTATTATTATAATAAAACAATTACTTACCACGGATATTATATAGAAGCTGAGGATAATGCCCAGAGAAAAGATCGGAGCAAGCACGGGCTGAATTTCATTCAATTGCCCAAAGTCAACGTCGGACATAATGACGCGTATCATGGTCACGATTGACGCGTAATTGGAGCTAAATTGCTCCAATTCGTCGCCGAACAAAATTGTGCCCAGCTGGGCAAAGGCGAAGACTAAGATCACATAGATAAAAAGGAAGCCGAGAATGTTTTTCATCGACTGTACAAAAGGACATGAGACAGATAGGAAACAAGCACAAACAAGATAATTCGCCTCCTACCATTCTCACGGTGGCCACAAGCCGTCTCTGTGTCCGGTGAAATGATAGGAATCTGATCAGCTTGGTCCACGCCGTGAATGCCAGGATTGCCATGGCATTGATATATGTCTCCCAGCCAACTATCAACGTATCCATATTGATGTAGCTGCTGCTATCTCTTTCATAGGCGCTTTTGATCCTCCTAATTTCGAATAGGTGCCAAATATTATACGCAAGCACGTAGTATGATGCCTAAATATTCACAAATGGACTCAAGAAGGATAATAAAGGAATCAATCAATACGTACGAGCAAAAAAATGAGGTCCGGATAATTGCTCATGCACTTAATATAAGCTTTTGTACTTAGCCAACAAATTTCGTAAACTTCCTGATACGTATAGTAAATAATAATTAAATAGAAAATAACGCCGGCAATAATTCTAAGCGTATCCATAAACAGAAAACATTCCAGGGGTATGCATTTAATAACGGCAGATGGGAACACTAGGCCCGTTGGCATCACTTCGAATATTAATCTAGAAAATGAAAAAAATAAAAATAAAATAAAATAATAGTAGCAGATGCCCTGAACCCAATCCGAATTGGGCAGTGTACTGGATCTGTGCTCAAGTACAACTGGAACGAGAGCTTACTTTCTGCCTACTTCAAAAGCCTCTCTCTCTCTCTCTCTCTCTCTCTCTCTTATATCTCCCTTATGCAGGCAGTACAGTATACTGGATCTGCAATCAAGTAGAACGGGAATGAGAGCCCACTGCATCTGCCTACTTCAAAAGCCTCTCTCTCCCTCTCTTATATCTCTCTTATACAGACATGCTGAGCTAGAGTCTGTTCCCAGAGAAGACATTTTCCTTTGGGTTCAAAGGGATATTTTCGATCAAATGGAACTTACTTAAGAGTTTGAAACGTTCGGTTAGCATCATAAAAGACGTTGAACTCTATAACCAAGAGTCGTGTTCCTCGATCAATCCATCGACTTTGATAAAAGGGCATCAGCCAGTTCGTTTTGAAACTTTCATTAAGGTTAAGTGAAAAGCCGCCACCTTGATAGATGCAATGCGTTGTCCGAATTACTTTGGCATCCGCTTCGTAATTAGTGCTTATAAGGCTGGCAAAAGGATCATGTTGACAGATGAAAACCAAACTACCATGACGTGTGCATACCCTTCCACTTCATGGGTGCCCTTGAATTCCATTTTGGATGAATATGCCGGATAACATGGCCTCTTGTCCAGATCGTCCAGTGTGAATGTTTTGTAGCATTCCTTCAGAGGTCTCACGCGTATCTGTCGGATTCTGGGCACGCCCACGATCAAGCCCTCGCCGAATATATTCTCTTTTACTTCCCCATTTAGCTGTTTCGCATAAACAGTGGGTATAAAGTGTTCGAAGAGATATGTCCATATAGCCTCTATGGTTAATACATCCTTGAAATTGGGCGCAGAATAATGCTGTTTCCTCATGTACGGCACCGTATTGACGAAAGTTCTCTCCGTTTGTATGTGGCTGTGATAACTGTATTTGGAACGCATCGATTCGGCGACTAATCGGAAAATATTTGGACTTAAAAAGAAGAGTCTACAACAAGCGCAGGCGAAGGATCTACTCACCGCAATAGGTGCAAGCGAGTAGAATCAGGAGCATAAAAAATTCAGTTATCACTTTGCGAATTATATTTTCGCTAATGAAGTCGTAGCACACCTTCTTCGTCGTTCGCTCGGACATTTTCTATAACAAATCTTTTATTAAGTTAAATCGAAATATGAGAAGTATTTCAATTTGAAAGTATTTGAAGAATAGTCCCAAAGCACACTTCATTCAAGTTTTAAAACAATACATTTTTGATGTCTAAAGCAGATGCTGATGAAAATATATAATTCAACAAATTAAAGTTAAAGTGAAAAAAACAGGTAAGAGCGCGTTAGACGGGAGTGCTCGACTAGAAGATACCCTGAACCTTCTTCTACCGAAACCAGAAGCAGTTGGCGCTAAAAAATTGTTGTTCTTTTTAACCCAAAAAATTTATAATAATCTATAGATGGGGTAAAGAGTAAATGTTTCGTCCCTCATAGCTGGGCGTGGTCGGGGAATACCCGACCGAGAACAGAAAAGAGCAGATTTTAAGGCCAAGCTAATTTCTGAATTTTCACCGAAACTAACTTAGTTAAAATAGCAGAATAGACATAAAACACAATCGCAATTCCAATTCCAATATTGCATACTGAATGTGTGTGTTTACATGTGAAAATTCATTAATATGAGTTTATATAAATGTAAACAAAAACTGATGGCTTTCAAAGACGAGATTTTTTATGCGCTTCGTGCTGATTACTTATACGCGACAACTTATAATTACTTATAATTCGACAACTGACTTCATAAACTTCTTAGGCCTACATTAAGCTACGGCGGCGAAGCGAGGCGAATTCGCTCCCAGAGCGAATAATAATTATTGCGGTCTCGCTCCGCCCTAAACCTAACTTACAATAGACTTCAAGTTTTTATGCATACACTTTGTTGCAAGTCTAAACAAATATAAATATATGTACATAGTCTAGCGCATAGCATAAATATGATCGTATATATGTATGCACATACACATGCACATACACACATACAGTGCTGCGCAAATAAGTAACATGATGCCACTTGAGCAGGCCAAGACAGTGTTGTCCGACGGATTAACGCCGATCTTGCACTTTATCCGCTCCGAGAGCGGAGTACACCCGCTCTCTCTCTCTTTGTATCTGTTAACAGATAACAGCTTAAGTATATATGTACATGAATTCATTCTTAAGAAGAATGCAAACCAGCACTGACGTGCTCTTGCCTATCAGCTTAAAGCATTTACAAAAGGAACATTTATAACATTTATGACAATACTATCCGGGCCTCGTCTGTTAACGACTACAACTGCAAAAAGAACCACGACTACAAATACAGGATAATCAACGGCAGCACCAGCGGCATAGCTACTAAACAACTGGTTAAAAAAAACCCAAACAAGAAAGTCTGAGTGAGTAGAGCGCGAGTTATGGGAAGACGCGGAGGTCTAGGGCAGAAAATCAAGAAAAGAATAGTACACATAAGGTGGCTATTACATACAAATAAACCAGCCCCCGCGTGGGCAACAGCCCCGAAGTTACAAGCCGAGCTTGATTTTCTCAAATCAAGTCTCGAGCATAAAACACCCAACACCGCAGCTCACTCAGCTAAAAGAATTAAAAATTTATGTGTAAAATCAATAACAAAACCTCCATCCCCAAAGCAACTGCCAAAGATGCCCAAAGTTTGCCCCAGTGACTGCCCTGGACCGGACCACAGTGGAGCGTGCAAATCAACTTGCATGTTAGCTGCGACCTGTGCGATACCCGGCACCGGCCCCGACCCCGGCCCCGGCCCCGCCTGAGTCCATAGGCCCAGGACTTCAGCAGCGGGAGAAACAACAACAAGCGCGAGGGGCAGACCGCCACTTGCGTCATCGAGGGAGCATCAGCGTGCCACATCCGGCGACGCCCAGCTGATGCAGCAGATGCACTTCATCTTTAAAAACATATACTTTATATATAAATAAATGTTGTGAAATTGAGCGGAACCATTTCTGCCCGATTAGAAGTCCGTAAAGCTATACAAAAATGTACTTCTAATATAGAAATATTCAAAATATAAATGAAAAAATTGTTTCATATAAATTAATGCAAATCACAATTAAAGAGAATATATATTTGTAATTAATCCAAAGATCAAAGATATAAACATAATAAATTTCAAAATGGGTAGCCAAACAAAAGATAATACGGCCAATATCACAATGTGCTCAATAACGTACAAATAGACATTCAAGCTCTGTGGATTTTACTATTAATATTAACAATTACAAGCGTTGCTTAGTTTTTCCGCCGAGAGCGGAGTACACCCGCTCTCTCTCTCTCTCACTCTCTTCGTAGCTGTTAACCGATAACAGCATAAGTATATATGTACATGTATGCATAGGCTGAGTACATTATATTGACTTTGAATAAATTCATTTTAAAGGATTTTGAGTTATTTTTATCGATTGCTAGAAAAAAGAACAAGTCATCGATTTTTTGCAACATACTCATACTGTTCGGGTACCATAAGGACATACGTTCACAGTTTTCAAGCTCTTAAGGCTTCCGAGGTGGACCTAAGACGGACGGACGGACAGACAGACAGACTGACTAAGAATATATACATTTTATGCGTTCGGAGATGCATTCTTCTGACTGTTACATACATGTGCACATATTCAGCTATTTTCAATTTCTTTCTTGTTGTATGTAAATGCATATGGATGCCTGGGCGCATCAGTGGGCGTGGCCTGTCGTGGGGGGGGGGGGGTGGTCGAATGGCATGTGGGTGTTTATCTAAAGAGCTGGCTGGTATCTCGTTCTCGTTCTTGGGCGATTTATTAAAGTGAAGCGGGCAAGTTTAAGGGCGCTGCCTACAAGTATGCAACACTTTGTTAGCACTTGACTGCGCTCGCAAAAAGCATGTGGCATATGCACAGGCGCACCCATTGTTAACTGCCTGCCAAAGCGGCCACTTGGGGCGGCAACAAAACACAACTCTGGACTGCCACAGACCGGAAGTAGCCCGGCATATAAAAGCTCTTCCGCTGCTTTCCGGTGAAATGTTGCATTTGAAGCCGTGCTGCCTCAGACATGAACACTACAATGCACAACAACAACAACAACAACAACAACAACAACAACAACAATGAGAGTCGGCTGCAACTCTTGCTCTGCACTCAAAGTACGTCAAAATAAACTACAGCATGAGCAATCAATCGAGGGCATATCCGATTGTTGTATACTCTATTTGGACAAGTCGAGCTATATATTCAGCAATTATTTCCATTCAGAGCAGCTTAAGATTTCCAACTAATATATTTTGTACTACATATTTTTTTTTGAAATTTTCTTAAGTTCTTTTGTAACTTTACATTTCATAATTATATACTCTGCAAATGATCGATAATTGCTATTTTTTAGATTTTTTTTGTTGCTTTATTTCAATTTTCATTATGCAAACAACTTTAATTAAAACTTAATTGAATATTCACAAAATTACTCATTTAACTGTTAAATCGAAGATAAAAATTTACAACTTATATAAACCGATCTAAGAGATCGATTGGATGAAACCTCCGCAAATCTCCTCCGCATTCCGACTCCTTCAATTCTCCGACTTTATGTGATGATTTTCATTATTGTCAAATATTCCCTATATTTCAGAATACATATATTTATTTTAATGAATTTTCCAATTACTTTATAATTTCACAATTCATAATAATAAATTCCAGCTCTTCAAACCCTCTTGATAAGTTCGATAGTCGATAGTTATCGATAGTCTTAAATATATGCTCATGTGGGTTTTTAAACCTTAATTGGAAATATAAGCTTAAAGATAGAAAAGATAAAGTTAAAAATATATGCATTCTTTTGTGCCGAAAAGTTTAAATAAATACACACTGCTTCTTTTTATCAAAACTTTCAAGCTATCGAAACTTTTGTTATCGGATAATATCAAAAACTATGAATTTAGTTAAACGATTATTATTTATATTATTTTCGATCAATATAAATGCAAGTTCAAATTCAAGTCCAACATTTCCTAATCAGTTATAGATTACGATTGCAACGAATCGGGCCAGCTAATATACCCGACGCCAGGGTATATTATTGCCAGTGCAATAAGCCCGGCCGCATTTAAAGCTTACATTTCGCCAGGTTCTGGTCAAGCACAAGTCCCGTTAATACACTATACGGAGAGGGCGTGCTCAGGTGTTCCGGTTGGCATCGGGCTGACACAAAAGGCTGTTGAGAATTTATTTCCTGTTACGTTTAGACATTTAGGCCGATTTGGCCGAACCGGCAGCAAATCGAAAGAGGGCAACAGATCAAATGGCCACTTGCACCACGGGATCCTTGGGCTTATCATCATCAGGCAACTGGCCGGCAACTGGGGCTAACAACGTCAACAACCTGGCCAAGAGAGAGTGTGTGTGTTCTTTGAATCGGACCGGGCTTGGGCTCGGGGATTCGCCCAGAGTTAACCGTCCAGAGTTTTGGGGCTTGAGTCGTAATTGAGTTGCTTTTGGCATTTTTTTCATTGCTTTAACCGAACGGCGAGAAATTTAAATTGATTTCATTTGCGCCAAGTTGGCCATCTGGCATTAATATAATGGAATTTAATGTAATATAATGCATTGCTCGTCGCGTTGCAAGTTATGCAAATGAAATTGGCATTAAAATAAAATTTAACTGCCGTTGATTTTTACCTTTGTTTTCACATATTTGATTTTTACACGTGGCCAGAACAAATGGAGTTCAGCTGGAATATATACACGATATTAATTATGCATTATACATTTTTGTACACACAATATTGCCAGGTTTTTAAATAAAATAAGAACAACAAGAAAGATATATGTCTCTTATACTCTTCTCAGAGGGTATTCTAATTTTGTCATGAAAGAAGAGAATTTATTTTATTTTTATTTTATTTTGAAACATTTTTTTGTTGCTTTTTTTAATGTCTCTTATACTCTTCTCAGAGGGTATTATAATTTTGTTATTAAAGGAGAGAATTTATTTTATTTTTATTTTTTTTGAAACATTTTTTTGTTGCTTTTTTTCAATCGTACTGTTAATATGTAAACAACTTTAATAACGCTTTACAACACTACTTATTCTGCTGTTAAGTCTAACATGAAAGAAGAGAAAGGAGAGAAAGGAGACATTC